TCTGCTGGAGGGCTTCCTCTGCCATCTCATGCGGCATAACTCTTTCCTTTGCTTTTTTTTCTCATTTATTCATTGCTTCCTACCAGTCTCCTTTTTTACGCCTTTTTATAACTTTTTATTTCCAACGCCCCACCAAATTGGCGAGCGATACTAAAAAGGGACGGAAGACATGTGCCGACGTAATTGGGCCCTCCATGAATTCTCGAACCGAACGCGTGCCACATGCTGTCTTCTTGGGGTCCGGACGCACCCCATGGCTCTCACCTAGGCACTCATATTCCATCAGTCGACCGTGAAAATTTAATGTCCACTGTCTTGGGCTTAAGGCTTGGGTACAGTTACTTAGCGGAAGTGAGACTAGCCGAGGGCGTGGATGCGAACGAAGACGGTTGCTACTACTTCCTAGCGTGCATAAAACGTCCACCGGGAAGAAAGGGTGAACCGTGGGAGGTCCACGGTTGTGAACTTAACGGACGAAAAGTATGAGAAAGACAAGGCACTATATGTATACACTTATAAGTCCACTATGTAATCCCATTGTGAAATCCGATGATCGTTATGCGCATGCGCTGCATACTGGAGTACTGTATATCTATACAAAAAGACTGTTTGATCTTTAATGAATTATCATGGGGATATTTGGAGTCGCGTACAAGGCGCCAATGCGACTGCCGGAAATATCTGAACGCCCACCGGGTACATCCTACACTATTCCCAACAGAATTATTATTACTGTTATCGAAGTCGTAACGGGAAAGCGGAAATAGGTGGATACGAGATGGGTGATCCGAGACTTCCGTCCTTGACTCGAGTGGAGACAAAATATTTATGTGTGTATTATTGTTATTATATTATACCCTGTGATTTTATTTTTTTTGTTTCGTTGGTTTTCATGAATATTCAAATTTATTGGTGATTCACGGTTGTGTTGGGCAATTCATCCCAATTTGAATATAGATATGAGTTTTGTGAGGTTAACCGAAATAAAAATCTTTAATGTCAAATCCTGTATAAATTTTCTAAGATTATTTTTCTATTAGATGAATACACGACACTACAATTATCGTGCGGTCGAGTATGGGCTGGTATAAATTTTATTGCTCCAAGATTGTCATCCTACGCTATCCGGTCGTGGGTTTCTTGCAGTGGAATAAATGCTTTTCGACTAAAGGCAAGTTTTCAACGAACGTATTCTTACCCGTACCTGTAAGTTGATACGAAGTATTTCAGGATTTTCTGAACACCGGGCAGCTAAATAAACTAGATGACAAAAATGTTTTCCACGTGTTTCTCGCTTGATACGTTACTCGGGAATGTCGAGGGTGAATCTTGCCGCGTTTACTCTGCTTAGTGGAAATACGAGAAAGAAAGGAATAAACGATTCCAATTATTCGCCATGACTGGAAAATGATTCGTCTGCGTTTTAAAAGCGCAAGTACGAGAAACAAGTTGGTATTCCCACGGCGAGATGCTGGATGCCACTTTCGCTATTATCCAACCTTATCCGACATATTACGAAACCGTTATAGGTTCGCGTAGCAGCCATTTTTAAGCGGTTCGACTTTTGCTTTCGAATTTCCTCGCAACCACCACCAAACTGCAATACCATTGTGATATCATATTGCACCTGCAGTTGCATCTGTTCCATCGTATAGTGTTAACTACTTGCGAGCATCCCTTAATACATTATTACTTATGTGTGTATTATTTTTATAAATATATTTAATCATCTTACATATATAAAAATTATTATTCCCGAATATAATTTTATGCCCGTTAAATAGTTACCCAGTAGCTTGTGAAACCGTTACAAATTCTTAATTTACTGTAGCACCAGGCTAAACTTAATAGTTTTACTATGTTCATGTACAATGGAATATTTTGCACTAATGCACCTGAACCAAATGCACCTGCTGTACCAAGCACCTGTTTCACCACCTGACAAGAAAATGTTCTTCTTCGCGTGTGGCAAAATTGTTAGGACACCATATTTTTACTTAAATAAAACATAATTCTTAATTTACCAAAAATATACTTAAGGTAGCTACTGTGCTCTACACACTAGCCAAATGAAGAATAAATTTTTACAATGAATTATTCAATATTGAATGTATTAATTGGCAGTAGTGTAGGGCGATTTTCCATACAGCACGTGTCCTGGACCTAGAGAAACATTAATAGCAATGTATTTGCGAAAGCTTTAAATGATCAATGCTAACTCCTATAGACGTACATTTTCGTTGAATTTTTTCAAAGAATGAATCATAATTTTGTACCGATCTTAGTGCACTACGGCTGATTCTGTTTTTTGAAACTTGCTTCACGAATTCATCAAATGGATTTTTGTAGGGTTAACCACTTAAAAATTGCAACCTACTATTTAATCAAAAAATAAAATTTTTTATAAACAGACTGCTGTAATTTTTGAGCAGTGAATTCGTGGAGTAACTGTCGAGAAACAAAATGAACCTATAGCCCATTAGAATCGGTACAAAATTACGGTTTACTCTTTGAAAAAACTCAACGAAAATGTATGTACCTATACGCAAATTAGAATTGATCACCTAATGTTTCAGCATATACATTGCTATTAATGTTTCTCTAGGTTAAGAACACGTGCTGTAATACAAATCGCCCTCCACTGCGTTCAATTAGTGCATTCAATTTTGTGAAATTCGTTGTAAAAATGTAGCCCTCCTTTGACTAGTGAGTAGCCCAGTACCTGAACCGGTAAATGACAATTTGAATAATTTAAAGTAAAAGGGATGGCAACAGTACCATAGTAACGTTACACAGACACTTGAAAAAAAAATATCCTGACAAGATAATCGACATCTATTTATTGTCATTATCTATAATTTACAACTGTCATTCTTTATGCTAGCTAATGACACCTGATAAGGTCCCTTTGATTATTATTAAATACATACGTTCCCATGAATTCTATCAGCTTTGTTCTACCATCGACAACCTATTTGCCTCTGGCCCTTCTATCATCATGAAATCATCCTTCAGAGACATAACAAGACCCACCCTTGTTTTATTGTGGATATCCGGAGTTCTTCCCATTTCCGTTAATAAAGATGGCTCTTATCGTTTCTCGTGGATCTCCATTGATACCGCGTATGCTGCTTTTGCCTATGTGGGTCTAAACATTGTCATCCTGGAGGCTGGAAAACCCAGGGTTACAAAAATGAGCGAAGGATTTGAGGTACTGCCGACTATTATACTAACCATAAGAAAGAACCCGTCTCTGACAAAAGTTTTAGTAATTCTCGAGGTACGTGACTGGATGTATACTTTGAATAGGAACGGTATTGAACGTACATTTTCAAAGTACGGAAAGGTACTCCTACCCTACGTGCTCTTAAGAGTATACTTGAGGATTGCCGTACTTGGCGATAAGTTCACCAGGGCGGGTTCTATATACATGTATTTTTATAGTGCATGTCAAGCCTGTATATAGCTTTTTTTTAAAGATTGTATTGTTTCATACGTTTCAGGACGGATTGGCCAATATGTTTATTCTTGGCCTTATGTGGCCACATTTCGTACTGCCACCTCTGGGCGTGATATTCACTAGCGACTTTGTTGTTTATCTGAACCAGTGGAAAGACATTGAGAAATATTTTTATTATCTCACTGGAAAAAAGTTGGAATTTTCAAATTTGAAAATTCTCGGTATAGCAATGCCAGTTTTCTGTATTCTGGAATTATTGTTTCTACTCATAGAACCTTTTTTATTGGAAGATTTTACCTTTGTGGATTCTGCCTCTCTTTCACTGTGTCTTCTAGCGTACAACTCAATAACGTCTATGTGGTACGTTCAAGCAGCTGTGATCGCGAGTACGTTTGATCAGCTACGTGACCAATTAATTATGGTAAATAACAAACAAAATTATTGCTTTTCGGTACTTGAGTCTCGTATCACTTTTATATGGTGTAACCTAATTATACATGTTTCTACTTAAAAACTTTCTACTTCGAAACCCGTTTGAACGCTTATCAGTTGACTTTTCTCAGTCGGCATACTGCGTCGCCTTGTAGTATGCATCGCGTCTATCTCGAATGTTGAGAGTGTTGCCTATTACAGGGGCAATATAAAATCTTTTTCACACTGTTACGGTTTCGACAATGATCAGTTATTAAAACGTTGCAGGATTTACAAAGGAACAAAGGCGTTGAAACTATTCGCAAATACAGAATCCTGTATATAAACGCATGCAGCCTCGTACCGAATTATACAAAGTCAATGATTCCTATTACAATCTTACAAATGATGTGTGTATACAGTAACTTGTTACTGGCTGCGTACGCTATAGCGGGTATGTGTTAGTTTGATATTTTTTGTATAGATGAACCCAATTTTTATTTTTTTAAATTTTTCATGTGATTTAACCTTCCAATCAGTATTATTAAAAAATCGCCAAATCCTTTTTAGTAAAAGTGCATATTCTGTGCTATACCCAAGAATATCTTCGCACAGCCAATATAACGTATTAGAATTTAGCACGTACGACTCTTGGCATTTTAATTTTCTTTCATGCGTCACGGTTACAGACTTTCAGCTCACGGATCGTTAGTACGTTTCTCGAGTTATATTGCTGCAACTATTCAACAGGTTTCCATACCAACAGGAATATTCACTGTTAGCTCAGTGTACCTTAATATTTCATAAAAGAAAGAGTTTGGCAGTTCTTTGGAAACACTCATGTATCCACATATACAATACATATTGCATCCATATATACATATTTAACATGAAATTCTATACTCTACATACTTTACGCTTGCACGTACTACGTAGTACAAGCGAGAGATATATTAATTTTGAATAATTAATTTTCAGTATCTCTAGTAACGCTCGGACTGACTTATGAAATATTTGCACATTTGTATCCTCTAATGTACTGCGTTCTGGTGTGCAAGTTTATTTGCGACGCAGGGGAACTGATTAATCGTGCTGCAGGAGTTTTGGTAAGAAATTTATAAAATAGTAATCGCTCGTAAACGAAGTATAGTAAATTAAAAATATTACTGGCTTCAATTATATTATATATAAATTTCATTATCAGTTTGGCGAAAGGATTGCTGCTTTGGAAACACATTCTTCTGGTGCAATATCCAAGGAAGTCCTTAAATTAATGAATGCAGTACAGGTGATATCACCGAACGTGGACATTGCTGGATATTTGGATTTAAACAGAAAAATGTATACCTCGATTGTCAACACTACCATGACGCATATAATTATTCTGTTCCAATTAAGAGGGCAGTTTCATTAGTTTACTCTAGCCAATTTCAGTTCCTTTAATACGTGTATATTTGCTAATCTAGCATTTGAATCTTCGAGCGCAGAGAGTATACAGAGGTATTGTCCTAGGTTAAGCTTTGCATACGGTATGCTCATTACATGATACAATTAGACAAGTAATTAGGAAGTGATTCGAAAATACGGTACTTTGTAGATTAACTGTCGTAAAAGCCGAGTATAATACATAATCGTTAACGTAGACTGAACTAATTATCCTTAAACATACCTAAACGACGTTTTTACTTTTATACCATAAATTATGGTACGAAAGTTACCATAACGACTGGCAGACTTATATAACAGATTTACACTGCATTATCGATAGCTCGCAAGATAAGAGCTTTAACAAGAATAGCAAGATTTTATTGTTTATCGAAAAAAAAAATGTATTCACTGAAATCCACCAACGCAATACGGACTCCTGCAGTGTTTCTTCCGGACGTCTTTGGAAACCGGATACGTAGCTGTCACAGGAGGATTTGCTTCCTTAGGAATACGGGTAACAGCGGAAGTCACATCTGTAACGCATAAACGGGTTGCCGCAAGCCGAGCAGTCGGGTGGAAGCTTTTCGAACAGAAATATCCAGCATTAAAGTACTTTGCGTTTGTTCCTGGAAACCTGGGAAGTCCTACTAGTAATGGATGTACCTGATACGTATTTGGACAAGACCATTGGTTACACCCAGTATTTCCTGGGTAATTATTGACAGGAGGTGCATATTGAACTTGGGGCACCATTAGGATACCCATTATGTAACATCCAAACGAGACGCAAGTGGCATCTGTTGATTGGAACGTATTATTGAAAATAGTGCAATCGTGTTATCAGAAGAATGTACACTTACTTCTTGTCTTTTCGGTCGAAGTAAACGACTCTCTCGGAGTTGAGGGAACGTATTCTCTTGGCAGAGGTTGAGAAGGTATCGTTGCAGTGGGATTTTCCATAATATTTTTTATATCTATATTTGCTGTTATATTAATTATACCCTGGCGTTCCTCGTGGCAATTCTCACCTGGCGAACAATTAGTGGAATACTCTGTAATCACATGATGCGTTTCCTTTGTCTTTTCGAAGCATCGCTGATAACAATTCTTCATACAGGAGGAAGTCGTGCATTTGTCGACATCACATTTCCTCATGCAATTTTTATTCTCTCCTGTAACATCCGAATTAAGAAAGCGTATAAAGTCGTATATGAACCTTGTACTGTATAGTGATCACAGATTGATATTCGATCGATTGATTGAATATTAGATAAAGTTTTAGCACAGAATAAAAAATGAAAATTCAATTCAACAATCATTTACCCACAGATTCAGGCTCCGCATGAACGTGATGTCTCTTTTGTCTCTTCAAACAGGCCAAGTAGGTTCTGTAATCCGAATGGTTACATTCGACAAGTATTTTCTGCACTTCCGCTGACGTGGAATCCTCGGTCTCGTTTGCGGATTCTCCAAAGGTTGGAAAATTCGCGAAAATCACGACGATTATAATTACGGTTCCTAACTGCATGACTGACCTGCCGCAATAGCAGCCTGGGTTCGCGACTCGTCTGAATTTATATTATCGGAGACCTAGGTAAACGACCTGTACCGTTTTTGCTATCTCTGCTAGCTTTTTATACGAATTACGGGGCGATGCACTTTGCTAATATTTTCGCCCGTACCTTCGCCACGGAATAAACAAATTTACAGTGCTTATCGTGATCACAAGCGTTCGCGCGGGTTTGTTTAGACTCTGAAAATTAATAGCGTCTTTAATGATTGTAGCTGTAAAGTATAGGAGGAACGACAGAAATATAGGGATTTTGTTTTAGCATTAGAGGTTCAATGATTCGAATTATATGGGATTGGATTATGTTGATAGTGGTGGGAAGACGATTTTTCATCGTAAGATAAACCTGTATACGAAAATAGCATGTAAAATAGCTTACTCGGATAAAGAAAGAGACAGAGAGAGACTAGATAAACATAGATAATTCGCGATGCGTAAGGCAGCGTCCACCATAGTTTTTACTGACAGGGCACGCAGAGAGCATACGTATATAGAATGAGGTATCGTCATGTATAAAACATATTCAGTCGAGGCACACTCCTTTTCTAATAAAGTACTAGCATTCTACTCTATAATAATCGTAAAGTAATAGGTTCGTATAGGAGGGATAATGGTAAAGTGGTATCATATATGGTCTACTTCGATAACGTGGTCTAGTATTTTTCTTACACCAAAAATTTCATGTATTTAGACTAACATATGCTTTGCGCTTGCAATTATAGATAAATAAAAATTAACCTTGGGGCATCTAACATTGGAGTTCTGAACTATTTTAACCTAGCGTAGCCATTACCAAGCCTGTTATAGAGCCCCGTGCTTAGCATTAGAAGAATTTAGAAAATTCGGTGTGAACGTCGCTTTATGATACTTGGAATATGCGTTAAATATGAATTCTCGGATTCTTTCACTGCTAGGCACGCGGACCTGTGATGAACTTGTAATGGGTATACTGGATTAAGATAGCTTAGAATTTTAATGGTGGATACTGCAAAAAAATTTGTAAACCTAGAATTGCATGTATGGAACATGTTTTAGTCAATATACAGAAAACTTATAGAACGCGTTAACCAGATAGACCGCACATTACATGCCAAGAAGTCAGGTAGACTGCACACGACATGTTGCCGGATTAATTTGAGTATATAGATATTTAATAAATGAATATATTTATTATATGTTTATATATTTTTATTTAAATATATGAATATCTAGTAACGTCATTTGTTCTGTTTCGACACTAGGATGACTTCACATCCGTTCACTCTTGACGAGACGTCGGGTGACACAGACGTCTAACACGCGATATAAAAAAAATACGATTTGCGTTTCTCACAGATAGAATGGCGTCATTGTCAATGCTCGGCAAACATTCATAGAGTTTGCATAGGTGCTGCGGTTTCGTTCCCACACTTAGATTATATACATGGAAAAAAATAGACATCAGACATAATATTGTATAACAAGGTAAGTAATATGAAACAGTTACCTACTTCTGTACAACAAGAGCCGCTAATCTGTGTGAAACAATTAGTGCGTACTGAATGAAGAAAAAAATTAAATGTAAATCAACCATAGCAGTTACCGTTTCTACGTAGATCGTCCGTCCCAATGCGTCGCCATTATAGAATGTTTAAACATAGCTTTGACCTGTCCACATGGTACCAAATAATAATGACCTGCCCGACTTGTGTCAAAGAAATGATTATAAAAATCACTCACGTACAGATTCGTACTTCATCGGCGCTTATTAGGCAACCGCCAGTTAACAGTACGATAGGTTACTAACTATACTCTCGTCAATTTAATATTTAAAAATTATTAAAGGATTTTTGATTCGATAAAAAAATTATCTGCTACAAAACTTGCTTCGTTCCCATGATTGCCAAAGTATTCTCGATGTTACGACTTTCCTGCACGTTTAGAAAATCCAAGAAAATACAAAAAGTACAACAAAGGTGCGTCTACGTCATGAGGATACTCATGAATGCATCCTGCTGCCACAGTGGCTTGAACCAGGTAGCTGAAAACGGGCCCCAAGGATTGGCTACCCCCATTGAGCCGTCGACAAAATCTAAAGGAAATCTGGTACGGCTGGTCTGCTGTTAGCTTGTAGTGAGTATAGCAGCAAAGTAACGGGGCCCCGAGCACAGTGTGTTCAGTATTGAAACGCAGCCCGCGCAATGGCCGCCGTGACCTAAACGTTAAGTGTCAATCGTCCTTAATTTTACGTCTTAATTCAATACCACGCCCTCGAATATGTACGCGCACTCACCGGGTAGTTAATCGGAACATACCTATCCTATGGTGTGCCACGAGGAACACGATAACTCTTTAATGTAGCAAGCAGAACAACGTGAGATCTCCGACTCGTGCTTGCTGCCAGTTCAAGCTATACTATACGCAATGTCGTATGCCCAGAATAACAAGAATCTTCTTTAAATCCTCGAGTACGGTGATACAAGTGATTTACGTGCTTGATATAATATTATCGAAATACTTACCTGTGCCATCAGTTCAGTAAAATCTGCTGACAAAGTGAAAATAATTTGAAGAAACAGTCGGCAAGTTTTATAACGCGTGCAACAAGTGGATCCACATTGATAGTACAGTGACAATCTTAAATATCTCGATTCTCTAGATGCCAAGTTCAAGGTGCAAACGAGAAGGACTGTCAAACAGTACAGAGTCAAGTTAAATATATAAATTTTTTATCCTAATATATTTCAACTGTGTAAAATTTGAAAACTATTATAAATTGTAGTCTTTGCTGTGGATCTAAACTGATTCGGTAAAATTTATCAGGAGAAGGTTCAGGAAATTGAAATAAAAAGATCTAAATATAGATATTACAGAGGCAACGGTGCCACTGTTCTACAGAGTAACACGTGGTAACTATCAGTTCATAGTCAAGTTGATGAGCATAAAAATTCAAAAGATGTCCCTTTCATTTTTCATCGTGTAATTCCCATCGCGCATCGGAGCTCAACGAACGAGTGAAGCGTACAGTGAAACTTCCCATTGTTGTGATGGTCATGAGTAAGGAAGAGCTAAAACCACATGGTTCGTAGAACGCTGATACATTTGAATTAGTCATTCGCAAGTTTTTCTATAAATTGACTATGGCAGGTAAAGATTTGTCCAGCATGACAGCGACTGCCGAGTGCACGATAAATTCAGAGCCATCCTGGTATGTAAAGTTCGTCTCGTACCTGAAGAATCATAATCGAGTTGCGCCAGGGAAGCTTGAGCTACCTGATTGTGACTTCTTTATCGTCGCGCCTAGAAGGACTTTACGTGTGTTGAAGCCACCGTTGAAGAGCGGTGGATTTTATGAAGCTTCAAATGACAGACCGGAATCAGTGAACGATAGCTTCTTCGCTCGTTGGTCCAGACGGCCCCATCCATCAGGAAACTGCAGATGCTCTTTTCGACAGTCAAGCAGGTTGAGCACCACCGAGGAGCAGATCATTTCCGCTGAAATAAATCGAATAAGAACGAGTCTTTGCGAGGCGGAGAGGACTGGTCAGGATATCGAAGAACTGGAACAGAGGATATCAGTAAATCTTGAGAACCTGATTCCAGTCACCAGCGAGCCGAAAACTGAGTCCAGCGTCGATGAGAAATTGGCAGCAATCGCTCATGTGGGACCCGTCACAGGAGATGAGGAAATCGATGGGAGAATTATAAAGAATAAGATCGTCGAAGATCTGGAAAGGTACATCAACGACCTCCTCGAAGAAATTCTCACTGATACTATAAAGTTCATAGCTGAATCTGAGAGCGTAGTACGCAAGGTCAATGACTGTTCTATGAGCGTATGCGTGAACCCGGAACATTTGAACTTCTGCAATTCCTTGGAGGATGTTAACGAGAAGGACAGTATTAAGAAGATTGATAATGAGAAGCTTCCAGAAATTTTGGAGGTCGATAACAATTCATTTAATAATATCAGTTTCGCTTTTCATGGCGATGCTGATGTGATCTCTGATAAGGGAAAGAGTAATGAGGAAGTAAGACCGGAAGGATATGTGAATCATGCTTTCCTTGGTTCGCCTAATGATCCTGATTCCTTGGATTTTTACTTGCATAAACCAATCAGGACTAACGTTAACTTAGAACATCTAGACTGCGTGGATTCGGGTATCAACAGCGTAGAAACTGTAGAGTTTCAACCGGATCAAGAACCTAGTCTCGAAGAGTCTCTCATGGAAATTATAGATGCAAAATTAGGCCGCAGTCCATTGCGAAAGAGTTGGGAGGATTTGAGTGCCGATGGAAAAAATTCAAACGAAATTAGTGATACAGCCAATAACGAGGAACCTCCAAAATGTGAATCTGTTAAAAATACCGTAGATAAAGATACCTCAAAATATACAGAAACCATACATGATGAGGAGGTAGAAGTTAAAAAACAAATTAACGAAAATACGATTACACAGAATGAATCAAATAAAATTAATAAAATACCCGAGCGAGATAATAATTCTACAAATGATTCGTGTACTAACGAAAGCTTTAATGACTTGGAAGCTACTAATGACCTGAGCTTCGATAAACTCCGTTTGGAGCTACAGGACGAGAGATCATCCACAGAAGAAGTGCAACTACGAAACAAAAATGGTATCTCGATCTTTAGAAAAAAATTTAGTTTCAATGAATCGCGCAGAGGTCGCGAGGATAGTTTGAAAATTAAGTCTGCCAGCGACAGAAGACTGAGGAATAGCTCGAAATTCCAACAAGTGGAACTTGATGATTATCGTAAAAAGTGGTCCGAGCCAGAAGGATCAAATTTGCCAATTGAAAATCAAAATCCAAGGGACCTCGTAATGTTCCGCAAGAATAGAAAACCAACAATAGTCTTTTTACACGGCTTTGGATCGTCTGCTGAAGTTTTCAACCATCAGCTCGAGTACTTCTCCAACCTAGGATATCCATGCATTGCTCCCGATATGCTGGGACACGGAATGAGCTCAGCACCAGATCGTTCCCGGGATTATCACTTTGAAAAATTGCTAAGGGACTTGGACACGGTCCTACAACATTACGCCTTCAAGCCGGGACAGAAGTGCGTCTTAGTGGCGCATAACTATGGGTAATGCTCTAGAGTAATCAAGTTAATGGCTGTACGATCTGCGGTCTATCCAGGTGTAGCGCGATTAAAGATATTTCACTCGCTGTTTGAAACTTCTTTGAATCATTATAGATACGTATCTCTTACATGAGATATAAGATAAAAGCAAGTTATAAGGAAACGTTCTGGTTCATTGATAAGTACAGTAATCATTATGGAATTTCCGAGACAATGTTTCTCAAGATAAGCTATGATCATTTCCGCTTATTGACTTCCCACATACTTTACTATGACAATATGTTATTAGCGATAAACAAAAAAATATTCTTGAAGACCCTCGAAGACTTTCTCGCTTACCTAATACACGCGTTGGTGCAAAAATCTAGGTCGATTTATGCTTAGATAATGACGTGATCATTCTAAGGCGGATTGAAATGTCTTGATCGACGTATTAATATCGTTCAGTGGCGCTTCAATTTGTATGGCGTTATTTTTTTGACTCAGGTGATAAACGACCTACGTGAAGTGACAGTGCAATCGTTGTACAATGAAGTATACAAATTATGCTTTAGTCGTTGCGACACACGTGTGTAGGTCGTCACCAACGTCTAACGGATTCTTTGTGTCTCATAGGAAGACCAGTAGGTCACCAACGGCATTTTACAATTGGTATTAGCTTTGGTATTGTCTTGTAATGTTATTCAGGTGCAGCTTCGCTACGGCTTTGGCTTGCAAGTACGACAGCAACATTCATCAGCTTGTATTAATTTCTGGAGGTGGTCCCACACCGTTGGCACCGCCGAGTACGGAGAACGCAGGTCACTGTTGCCTTAGAACGGTTTTTGCGCCGCTTCTCATGTGTGGACTTCGTCGTGAAATTCTCTATTCCGCCAGAGGTCGCCAACACCCTTATTGCGGTCCCGAACATGCAGAACAATGCCCGTCACATATGAAGTATGTTTTGGACGGTATGGTCTGGCCGGAAGGAGATTATGTCTTCCATAGAAGGATTTGCACGCCGACTCTTCTCATACACGGACTTCGTGACAACAAAGTGTCCCTCGTGCAGGAATGCCAAATGGAAAGAGTACGTTACTGAAGTATCTGATATTCTTTATAAATTACGTTATTCTTCATGTTATTATAATGAAGGATTTTTTTGTACTTTTAGACTATGATGAAGGCCTTCCTCGAGGCAATACCTGCAGCTGGTCATTGTCCAATGACGGACTGTCCTGATCAATTGAATCATATGATACACTGTTTCATAGACTTGTGGAAGAACAAGAAGTGGTAACACGTGGTACGAAGTTAGAAATCAAAATGACTTTTATACTATTTCTCTTTTTCTTTCTCGGAAAGAAAATTGTACGTTTAATTGCATTTACAGTGAGTGTTTTCTACGATTAAGTTTCCCTTGTGCGACGCTTTATACTAGACGGAGGAAAACGTTAAGAATCGTGCCAAAAGTTTTTAGCGCAATTGTTATGAAAATCACTGCCCATCTTTTGCACAACCTTAACGATCTTTCATCCTCCTTTCTTTTACTCCACCTCGTCCCCGTTTGTTAATATATTTTGTTGTTGATTAGAGGCTAACGGGTTTTTGTCATATGTTTGTAAGTTGTACCAAAGATGATTTATATAATGTTATTTTATATATTCTACGGCACCGGAATATAACTTATTCATTTACAAGTAAATTATGTTTAGACATCGATTCATCGTGATTTCTCGTTTATGCGACTGACGTGATCATTCTTTTCAATTCCTTGATTCCTACAGTTTATTTTTTCAATGGGTACGAGAACTCCCTAGGTAATTCGAAGTAGATCAACGGTTTAAGAGTTTCTGATTCAACGGATTTTCCGGAGACTTCATCCATTCCTTCTTCAGAAGCTGTTTCAACTGACTGAGCCTCAACGTGGGATTCTGTTCCTTGATGATCGGCATCATCCTTTCCTCAAAACTCAGATAAGCTGCCTTCACTCGTTTCTCCGGATGACGATCAGCTTCTGCCTCTTCAGCACTGAAAAATAAATAATTTCGCATTTTACAAAATATTACATATTAATACAAAATAAGTGTTTCTAATTTAAAATTCGTGATTTACCCAAGCACAGCCAATGCCTCATCTATGCCATGAGCCGTTTCTCCTTCAAGTACAATTCTGTTTAAATTCTCTTCGATCGGCTTTTCTTCCTCCTTCTTTTTCATTGCAACTTGATTTCGTTTTTCTGTGACCGCCATAATTTCGGCTCTAGTTAGTTTTGCTGCTGGTTGTTTACCGCCCACCTTTATAGTAGCCATTTCCTTTTCGAGAAGAGCCTTCGCCTCCGCCTTTTTCTCTAGTTGTTGAAGTCGTTTTTTTTCAAGTTCTTCCTACGATCGAAAGTACAAGTTATGGATATAAGTAAAAGTTGAACACTTTCAAACGCGCAAGTCAATGAACGCGTAGGTGAGAATATAAAATCGTTCACATTGTACCTGTTTCTGCTTTTTCTTTAGTAATTGTTTGTCATCATCCTGCCAAGCTTTGTCTTCCGCCTCTTTAGCTTTTTTTGTAGTTTCTGCTTCCTTTGCGGCAGCCTTTCTGGCTCGGGCCGCGACGGCTTTGCTATTTTCGCCAACGAATTTTTTCGGCATGTTGACCTGAAAAGTACAAAGAACTAATGAATAATGAACGGGAAAAGTTGATGAAGATAAATTCAGTAAATATCAAATATAGTTTTTTGCAAAGTATTTAAAAATATTCTATGGTGATAATTCACTTTACTACGTTGGCAAGGCAGCAGAGCATGCGCAAGGCCAACGTGGTCATACGGTAACCTAAAGCGTTCAATAATTGTGTAAATATTATTGGAACAACGAAATGTAAAGGAAAGAATTTTATTATTTTAGAATAACGAATGTCGTGGGTAACCAGTGGTGTAGCTATATGTAGATTGTTTACTGGAAGATTGTTGGTAGTGCGAAAAATGTCGAAACAGACTTCAAAGAAAGCTGGTAAAGCTCAGAAAGCAGCAAAAGTAGAGGTATGTGCATACATAAATATATTGGACTTACCGAGATCAGAGTAAAGACACCCAAATTTCAATCACGAGTTTAATTCGATCACCTATAAGAGAAATAGTACGGCATTTTACGAGGAACCGCGCGACAGCCAAATGTGTCACTCGATATTTACCACGAGTGACAAGGTGACAGAAGAAAGTTACTAGAATCTAGTTTGAAGTATTCAGTGAAAGCGGGAGATTTTGATTTTTACAAATTCACATTCAGCTTTTCTGTCAATCATTCTTGATGCTAGATTATTAGTAAAACCCATTGTTGCTCTTTTATTTTCAACAACATTTTCAGGAACCTCCACCCGGTCCAGTTACCGTCAACAAAGACGGAAATGTTACCATAAAAATTCAAGCTAAACCGGGAGCTAAGCATAACAACATAACAGGCAAGTATATATTAATATTTACTATTATTATATAGTTTTTTCATTGAATTTTCTTTATTTCAAGGAAACGTCATCTTTTTATAGATATTTCAACGGAAGCAGTAGGTGTTGCGATATCAGCGCCCCCTGTAGAGGGTGAAGCAAATACTGAATTAGTCAAATATTTGGCAGCTGTGCTGGGCATGAGGAAATCAGACGTTTCTTTGGACAAGGTCAGTTATTACTGATTATTATAAACCATACATTGATTTATGAATTTACTTGAAGTAATTGTGTAACAATTTTATACAGGGATCTAGAAGCCGTCAGAAAACAGTTATCGTAACGGGAACAACTGTAGATAACGTTTTACAAAAATTGAAGAACGAAATGACAAATTGAGCGTTGTTATTAATAAAAATATTAACAAAAGGTTCAATAATATACTTCGAGTGAGTTTGTTGGTCAATAATATATTTCATTTATTATCACAATATTATTATTATTAATATTATTATTATTAGTTTTAACGTGATTCTTACTTATAACATACATCTTTATTATTTATCTGTTATGCATTTGTATTAAGTACAGTGTATTTATTACACAGCTGTATGGCAGTTTTATAAGGGTCAATAATGCATCCTTTTTTTGCGTTTCCATCTAATTGCAAGGAATTTTGTTTTACCGTTTGAAACACCAAATTACGTAAAAATAGTACGAACTCCCACCATAGGATTCTTCACCCTCCACGTTCTATTCTGCAATTATTATATACATGGAAAAATGTATATAATCGACAATCGAAAATTAATACCGCAGTTACGAATTCTATGTTATCTCTTTCTGACTAATTGAATGTACTGTATTTCTGAATCAACTTGGAATAACTCGAGTCGCAGAAATCCATCATTCATTCTTGCACCTCAAAGACTTTGTCGTCGAGCCATGGTCGAAAAATCGGTAATGTAGAAGGATAATGAGCTCCTCTCTTAGACGGTGCAGTTCCTGCAGGAGCTCCTTCCTGTCTAAGTGGATACGTCGCCAAGACGATAGGAATTTGCAATTTGATCTCCTTATCGAGACTCTTCGGACTGATAACGAACTAAAGTAATACAGAAAAATGAAAAATTAATAACAGGAACATATTTTTAGATATTATCATCAATATGGCATCCGTGGATAAGTACGCTTACATAAACGTGATAAAGGACATTGATCAGATGACATCCTCGCAGATTAGTAGGCGGCAATGGTGGAACGTACATCTGTTCGTTCAGCCATTCTTCGCCATCACCAGGTCGTATCTTTCCTCTAGATACACTGGCCAACTCTCTGGTTTCACTTGCAAGAACTTTATTTCGACAAAGATACTGAATCGTTTCTGTCAAAGATGCTTTTGTCGATTTCATCGTCACCTAGAAGCGTTGTCCAACAACTTTTTGCTTATTTATTACCGATAAATTATGTAAATAACAACGCTTGACATTTGCCAATCACATTACATATGACTATTACAGGTATATCAATGACGCCATAAATTCCTTTTAATACAGGATTATTATGTTAGATGAAATGTGGTTTACTTAATATTTGTTTTAAGTGAAGTTGCAGAAATGCGATACTTACTTTACTACGGTTACTAACTGTGGCTGAAATTCCAATAGTCTCGCCAGGGACGTAACCACCTCTGTCTAGACTTACTCTGCAGAATACTGGTCCGCCGGATACGCAAGAAACACCTACACGTTGTTCCACCTCCAGCCTAGCCGGTTGCTGCACGAAATTGAAATATGTATTATTATAAAGAGATTACGGTTTTTATGCGTTCAATAATCTGATATAATTGCCTTACTGCCAAAATCGGCGGCTCCAGATTCAAATCGATCGGATTCATCACTATAAAAACTTGCTGGTTCTTATGGGTTAAACCATTTGGTTCTCGGAGAGCTGCTTTACAATAATATTGAACCCATCCGTGCTTTCCTAAGAAAGTAGATGGCAAGCCTAATGGCAATCCCAATTTGAAAGGGAAACTGTGTATACCGGGTGATAACAATGACGGACCCTCTTCTAAAAATAAAAAATGTATGTAAATCAATTATTTTTCAATCTTATTATAATATATATTATATAAATTAATTAATTACCCGGTTCTCCGAGAAGTCTCATTCGAAAGTCTATATAATTTTCTTTATCATACACTCGTTCGGCACGTTGACTACGTACCCTTACTACGCCTTCACCTACTACGTGAAAATGTAATCCCGAAACACTGTAAATGATAATAATTAATGAAAAATATTTTTACTTTATATTTATTTTCAGCAACGTGTTGTTTTGCGTGTATTAAGCTTGATTAATTATCCCGTAGAATCCTATACGATAAATTATAAAATTATAAGCTGCAACGTTACTGCATGTCAAATTGGTTTCGCTAGGAAGAAATTTAATAAACACTGTACGGTTCGCCGCAGATCTTTAGACGGTAATTAACAAAACGCTCACGCAGCGGTTGAATCTCATATTAAATACATCCAATTTATCAACCGAAGTCACGCACATGCGGCAAACTTTCATAAATTTTACATATTAGAAAAAGTATTAGTCGGTTCCTTGTTTTGAACGTGAAAAGCGCACATTTCAACATTAAAAAAATATCACCATTATAATTGCCTGTTACGTTAGACAATATGCATATCCTTATTTTAAAAGCGTACTTACTATGCTTCATCGTCCAATTCGATGAGAACTCGCCCAGACAAAAAATGTCCAGGAAAGTACAGGAGATTCGTATTATCGAAGAGTATCAAAAACTTGCTCAGTTTACGCGTCATTTTGCACGCAACTGCTTACGGTTTACAGCCGACAGGTGGTTATTTGCTTACGTCACGAAAAGTTAGCGCAGTTAATACTAAGACCTCAAAGAGAGCGGAACTGTCACTTTTATGAAACACATAACACCGTCAAGAATTTTGAAATTCTATACATCTCACTGACAAGTTTCCCGGCTTCTTTTTTGCCGATGTTGTTTCTTTTTCTTTTGTGTGCTTGCCAAACGTAGGCGAAGCAGGAATGCCTGCGAGTAGACGCCTCTGCACTTCGGGCTACGCCTATGTATATTGCAAAATCGTACGACTTAATGCACTCCGTTCAGTCATCCTGTGACTTGACTCCAAACTTTTGAATTAAATGATGTGCACACGGTACTGTTACTTGTCTCTTTCCTTTTTCGACGATTTTATATATTAACTGGCAAGCCCTCGTGGTAACGACATCTTCGACACGTCTTGGGACACGAAACTTTCTGTACAAGACCCGAGGACCTTGTCTCTTCCTGACCATTCTTGGAGCTCGGTTCACTTTCGCTCCCTACTACACATTACCACCTTGGTTCTCCAATCGGACGAAGGTATATTCCAGGTTACGTGACCCTGCCGACCAATGGAACTCTACTGGTATGTTACGATCATCTTGACTTACGATTGTTAGATCATAATGGATGGATCGGTGATTGATTGAATTATAGTGTGACGAATTAATATGTGAGAATAAAAATACTCGGAAGACTTGTTGGGTATGAGTGAAGCTGTATCGTTTAATATATTTGTTGTTAATTGTTTTGCATAAAGATTTTTGAATGGATCCTTATTTATTTATATGGATACAGGTAAATAATTTCTTTTCATTTCGAGATTAAAACTCTTGTCAATAATTTTGCTTATTAGATCCTGTTTATTTGTTTCACGTTTTAGAAATAATTTATTTTTAAAATAAAAATGCAATCAATTACGCTCGGTTGAAAGTAATAGTATATATTTTATTCTATTCTTTTGTATATACATACATTGAAGTTGAAAAGTTCCGGACGTGGCCTGTACTGCAATCGAACTCTTTTGCCTGCGTTTTTCTCGGGCAGCATTCGACTAAATTATACTTAAGATTTGTGTATAAAATAACCTATACCCCTCTCTTTTACGCATCGTACAACCCAAAACATGATTTAAACGCTTATGCGTTTTAAACTTTCCGACGGCAATGTATATATGAAAGTATATACGTTTATTTATATTAACTTGTTGGTATTTAATCGATAAATGGTAAAAGCAGCGATTGCACGCACCAAGCCTGTTGGAAACGTTCCACAGTTGGTGGTGACTTATATTTGCATGTTTCATCAATTCGCCGCTAGATGGTGCTACGTTCGAAAAATTACTCATACGTGAGCAAGTAATATTACCGTTGACTGAAGAAATAGACTACTGGACATCTTATGGGATATGGCGATACGCGAGCCGGCGTTGTGGAAGTCACCAATGCACTTTACTTTATGTATATTCTACATTTCAGAATCGTGAGGCACGGAATATATAGAAAGTTGACATTGATTTTAAGTTTGAAGATTGGCATAATAAATGCAAAATTATATCAAGTAATGCACGGACCCACCAAGTAGTACTCGATAAGGAATCACCCAAAGTTTTATTAATTAATAAATGACCATTAAATCATAATTAAGTATGAGAAGCAGTAGTAATATAAAAGAGTAGCGAGGACGTTATAGGAAATTTTGAAAATACAGTTAAAATGATGGGCCCGTGGTCGATCATATAATAGGCAGATATGTATGTAGTGACTTATGTACTTGGCATTAATTGAGGTGCTATACGGGTGTCAAGTTGGCACTGCACTTTCTTAAAAATGTCTTAAAAATGTTACAACAATAGACTTTTTCAATAGTTCTTGAGAAGTTCTATAGTTCCCGGTCTCGTTCTAAGGGTTGCTTTGTGAGTCAGCGGTGAGTAACGGGGAATCTCTGCCCACCAAGCTACGCGACCGTGTTCACGTTTAGCTTGGATACGACGGGATTCTCATTGCCAACGGAGGCGATAATCACAAAATCCTACTTCCAGACTCGCCTCTACGATTTAGTAGGATGCTTTTGGTACCGCCTAAAATCGCACCGTTATGCATCTCCTTACTCATCTCTGGTTCCACACCACTTGGTGGAATTTTCCGGAACTACAACAATACTTCACGACGCCTTCTGGCGGTACTTTCCGGAACTAATGGAAAATGTTCCCCGCGATAAACAGTTTTCGAAAAATAGGTGCGCGCCCCTCGCTGGAATGAACTTCTAAAGAAACCACTTTACACAAGATTCGTAACAATCATTTTATTGGTAATACTTATTTGTGATACACATTATCCTTATACTATTGAATACAGCTGCCTGCAAGGAAACAGACAGATACAATATAAAGTATACTGGATTATTGTACCTATTCATTTAACGTATCCCGTATTGCCTACCTACAGGCGTTTTTGTATAATCGTACAAGGTATATGGTAAGGATAATAAGTAATACATGCTCGTCAACTTCCGAATAGTTGTATGATCCTTTGTAAATACGTCGAAAAATACATTCATATAATATGATATACGGTCTACTTCAATTCGTGCAAGTATATAATTGTATTATGCGTATATTTCACGACGGGAACCGAACGAAGTACTTTTCATTGAATGACACGAAATTTTATTTATAGTCACTAGCATAAATCTGTTGGATCTACATCCTTGGGAACTACACGATTCCGAACATTGTTTCAGTTATTTTACGTAGTATGTATGCATCAAAGTCGAACTTCTCTAAAAAAAAGTAACGGAGAAAATTACTTCGTTTCTTATTTGACAGATACGATATATGAAACGCTAAATGATAGTACATGTAAGAATGACGACATTATGCATATATAATTAATTATTTACAAGTTTTATTGTTGCCATTACTATGTCCTGGTTCATTCCAGATCATTTTCCATTTTAGCCAATTACCAATTATTACGAATACCTCATGTCACGCTTTTCTTTCCTTCTTTATCTACGCTGGAAGACTAGATTAGAACATTCTAAACCCTAACGGGCTTTAATTAACTCCAGTTTATTAAATATTACAAAGTTACAATTTAACCGCGCTTCGACGAATAATACTTCTTTAACATTTCTATTATAATGCCCTCCATCTGTATAGCATGATTGGCACCATTGGTTAATTATAGTCTCAGTTAATAAAAATCATTATCGACACGATAAAGTGAACGATTGTTAATAGAACTTTTTATATCTTTTCGCTTGTAGACTAAAATTACATCATTACCAGTACAATGTCATTTGAGTCTTTTGATGAAGCGTTTACAAAATTATGAACAATGCCAAATTGTCACCTCTTGATCCACGATACGTAATTTACTTAGGTAATTTTTAATCGATATAAATGAATAATCCTCGCAAAGTCAAAAACAAGAGAAATAAATCTGCACTACATGTTTAATCGCTGTAACGATACAGTGGATTTTAAAGAAAAGAAAAAAGGTTACAAATCAGAATTGTACATTGTCAAAACATAAAAAGACGTATCGTACTTGGTCTTTCCAATAAATTTTTCTTTGTATCGCTAATCAATTTTTGTGACAAACATCTGCTGATATGCAATAAAACGTGATTTCCAAAAATACATTTGTGTATCCACACATGCTTACAAGATACGTGGATACTTAATAACTCAACGAAATGGATGTGAATATCCGTAAGTGCGAGATGTTCTCAGAGAATCGTCAAATAGAAGCATTCCCAAGAACCATCCGCTGCTCTTTAAAATACGCAGTAGTGGTTTTGCCCAAATTATGAACAAGCGTTTGTTCCTCTCAAACGCCATGATCAAATTCATGATATCCCTCAGCACCAGTAAACACAACGTCCACCCAGACCCTCATGGCTTCTGGGCTCGGTGCCATAAGATGATAGAGTCTCGCTGATGTTTTAATGATGAACGTGAGCGAAGGTTGCGGCGATCGAACAGTGTTCATATGATCCACATACACTTCCTCGATAGACTGTGAAGTAAACAAATGATCCAATCAACCATAAAACAGAGTATGATTTACGTAAAGCACTTCTCCCTCCAAGTCAACATTAATACTAAACTTTATACTTTATTTATGTACCTGGAAGTATATGACGCCACGTGCCTTTCTCGTGGTATTGTCACTGTAATACGATAATGTCTTTCTCTTTCTGTCAAAGACAAACCAACGTTTATTCCAGTGATGAAACTTCTTGCTCATCTTCGACAAGTAACCACAGCAGCTGGTCGTGTCGACTGTGACGTCATGAATCAGGGGCAACTGATGTCCAGCTGTCTCAATGTGATGTCGTAGGTCCAACGACTCCGATTTTATTGGAAGATATCGCGTGAGTGGCCTCTGCACATATAAAATAATTCTAACCAATGAATTGTACAGTTTCGATGTATTTTAATGTAATGAAAAATCAAGTAGCATACAAACCTGTAGTTTTGCCTTTTCTCGATGTTTTATTGGCTGTAGTGGCCCGAGGGTGTCTAGCTCACTGGAAGTTTGTGAAAGGGGACGACTTCCGCTTCCGTCTACGATACCACCGCTGTTGTTGCTAAGTCTTTCGCCTTCCATGGAACTTCTGTGATTATCTCTGGTCTGTGGAAACAAAGCAAGATACGTTAATAGGAATTCACATAAGGAACGAGGTGACAGTTTTAGTCGCTACAACCGAAATTAGTTCTCAAAGAGGAGTTCAGTCTTGGCAATTTAAAAGATGTCTACGATACAACGGAAGTGCACGAGCTTCCTGAGTCTGATGTTATTTATAAATATCCAAGTGTACTTTTTGATTTTGGTACTATATCGCGTGCCGCCGTTCGAGAAACAAATATTGTCTTAGGCGACAACTGGCTTCCTTCCTCCTGCATTTGAAGGCCCATTCGGTAAATTACGCCTCTCAAAATAGTCACCACCGAGAAGGCAGTGGAGGATGATGTTTACGACACGTAAACTAGGATGACTCGACTACTACCCGGTAAACACCTTCTTGTTCGTGGATAAAATTCAAACTCGTTTAAAGTTACAGGCGTGCCAGCGATCACGTGTGAAGATACGACGCGACTCTACAATTCCTTGGTCCAGTCCTAAGTGGAATTTTCATTCAGCGACTGTAGCGTTAACGAGAATCGACTTATTAAGGGTTCTAATAAATTTCGCTTCTTTTACGTAATTGACCGTTAAGACCAAGAGCAGTAGGTCTAACGAGGTTCGTTAGATTAATGAAATAAAACGAGTAAAATTTTCAGAACTAATCGCACTGCATAAGTACAGTACAGCGCATAAGTGCAGTGTAGAATTAATACTTTGCTGCATAAGTGCATTTTATATGATACAGTAACACACGAGAGTATCGTCAATTGATACCTACTATCAAGAAAAATTCATATCGCGAAAGCTACCGTCTGTGATGCAACAGAATTGATTGCACCGGTTTCATCAAACTCAAGGCTTATCTAATCTTCCATTGGGTTCCTATCTACGGCTTGAAGACCCTAGGAATTCCGACTCACGGAAATTCGAACTCCCTCTGTGTCTTGCTGCGCAACCGATTTATTGTTATTCCCGGAATATATTCTTAGGTAAGAATTTCAATGACGCCCTCTTCTTCTGTATAATTTATTTAATCATTTCTCTTTTTTTTCTCTGGCATAACTCAAAACTTGACAATGCTAAATCTCTTTTACGTTGTAGGACAAGGGTTTGCGTGTGTCGTACGTCGCCAATTCTTTTACGATGAAAATTGCCCAACCCACACGACGCATGGGAACGGCTATTTATCGATTACGATAGAGCTTCGCTAGTTTGCGGCTTCTGGTGTATTTTAATGCGCATCACGCTTTGAGAGAAGCTCGTAAACCAATGTACTAAAAAAAACTTCATGATCTTGGACTGTCACCAATTGTTGTGTCTTTGATTGTGGCTTATAATAAAATCCGAAGGATTCGAAGACAGATACGTTTCGGGTGCTGTATTCACTGGAATAAGTAACAGTGGCAAATGTTGCCACACGTGCCGAAATGTATTTTCACTGCCAAATTGTAAATGCGTGTCATCATTTATTTTTTATTCCGAAATTTACAAGTCTTTAATCTCGAAGAAAAAGAAAAAACTTTTCAGTCACATCTGGACCGAGTCTAACACGTGGTTTTGATTTGTGTAATCGTTTTACAATCCGTCACCGTGTTTCAGATAAATTAAACACTTTTCTTTACATTTGTTATTTCATCGGTTTAAGGTTTTTTTCCCCAAAAAATATATAGCTTCAGCGGATCCACGAATAAGATGTCAGAACCATGGGACTCCTTCACATTGAAACTAATACAAAGATGGCACCTCGGAAAAAAATATTACTATTGGACAGATCATAATTCTGTATACCTAGTATATTACGACTAGTTTCTAAACGAAAAATTATTCTCTTCGAGCTATTCTATAGCACTGTTCGTTATTATTAATCTTATTCGGTATATTTCGAGTTTATTGCAAAATAGAAAAATAGCATAATAATATAATTAACAATATGATTAATAAAATACTTCATTACTAGTTTCCGCATCGAGAAGTATTCTTTTGAAATACTTCTACTACAGCACTGTCTAATATTACTAATCTTATTTAATATATCTGGAGTCTATCGAAAAAATATAAAAATATCATGGTAATTCGGTGAACAATATATAATTAAATGAAAAAACCATAGTGAACAATCGACAAGACTTACGCGTCGTTTCCTAACGTGCTTCTTTCTAGATCCCATCATATAATTCATCCACATCAGTGACATAAACGGTGCAAATAGTGCACCAACAAAAATTATTGACCGAAATATTAGATTTTCCAGTAAAATAAATTTAAATAAAAATCCAGTTAAAGTTTACGTAAAACCGCACAACCTCTTGTTAACTATCGATATCACCGTACAATAATTACACTTGCGATAACGACTCCTTCTCACGAACAGAAATACACCCTTGAAATGAATCAAGTCTTAGAACCAACTGTAGGCTAGACTCTCAAAACCATCCAATGTTAAATCCTTGGTGTCATAGTAAGAACTGAAGTTTCGGTGGTCTGGTCTACCATATTATTCACTAAACTCGCCGTCCCCCACCTCGTCGATTCTCGCGGAAAACCGCCCCCGCAAACACAACGATCCCATTCATAAGGGCAAGGCAGGAGACCACTTAGAAAATAGCTCATACTCTATCTCAATATACATACGGTTACTCATCGGTAAATAGGGAAAACATAAGACCCTCGTAGTTGGGGCAATATTCAACGTAGCGATGAAACAGCACGGAAGCCCCAACATATTTTAAGCGTTCCGACAATCATTGAAAATTGAATGAGCACGTTGCGTGATCCATGGACATTTTCACTCTGATCCTGATTCTGAGAAGGATTTTTTTAAACACGCAAAACCTGTATCAGCGTTCATTGTTTATTAGGGCAAAGAGTATCAGCAGCATGTAACCACGTGTTGTGTACCTCATAGTGACATATTTTACTGTAGAACAAGTCTCTTGTTAACTGATCTGCATGGCACGTGTGACGTGCATCCAGAGCCAGATGGGAGCCAGTTGCGAAAAGACATGCACAATGACGAAAACGTGTGCCCTAGAATGTAGATACTTGCGAAATTGGTTGCATCGTACTATTATGTCCGGCGCCAAAATTGCGAATTTCATCGTGAAAGTCGAATGGCGCGCGAAGAGTGTACAATAAAAATTTGCACGTATACGCGAATACGTGAGAAAACAGAAAGTATGAAGAAGGATCAGAATTTATTAATTCCTCAAGCACCAAAGCGACATATCAATGGGTTGCAAAGTTCGATATGAAGTCTGTGAACGACTTCACGTTTGCGGAAATCAAAATAGCTGTTAGATTATCGAATAAATAATTTTTTAAATATTTTGTTAATTCGTCTGAAGAAATAAAATGGAACGCGATCGATTATTTATAATGGTAAAATTTTTTAAAATAAAATTAATTTTTGTTCTCACTTTATCCAGATTGGCCATCTTTTTTTTTTCTAAGGAAACTATTGTTCCTTTTTATCAGCCTCAGTCTGACTCTCCTTCCTTATTTTAACGAGATGACTAACGCGCGTGTTTTGACAAAAATCAAAAAATTCCCATTTCACGCCCAATACGATTCCCAGAAACAATAAACAGACGTGAGTGTGCAAGCGACGTAAGCTTTTAAAGCACGCGTCACCTCAAACGATCAATCCCGTTGTGCAAATGTGACGTCGGCTGTTGGGGCATGTATTTCCTAACATCAGAGTCCCCGTCAATCCTCGACAACTGCATACAACTGTTGGTCGCATCTAAATAGTACAGATTTATGCGAGAAGTTACCGTACTTGATGCGTCTAACGTAGCACATCGATGTCAAGGGTAACAAGAAAATTGTTAAGTTACGAATTTTCGATTTCGCCAGAAGTAACCGTGAGCCTCCTAAGCCACGGTAAATCATGCGGCGTCGCCGGAACGAAGTTACTGAATCGTCAAGTACACACGTCTTCCACAGCCGTGAAATTAACCTGGAATGCCATTTGCGCATTGCAAACAAATAAGGAACAGGCAATCGCTAAATTACCTAACAAACCCAGTATTAATTAGCATGAATCAACGTCATAAGAGACAAATGAAACCTCTTGAGTCTAGGACCCCTTTTATCAATCCTGCTCGTTCATTAAGTCCCTAAAGATGAATTTCATTTACACAAATTAATAAAATCATACTTCAACCTCAAAATTATAAATACCCGCTCAATGATTCACGTATTATATGAAAAATTTGTTAATACCCAAAACCAATTAACTTTATCAATCCGTCATACTCTCTACGGAGATAATTACGGTATCTCTGTAACAAGTTACGAAATTTTTGAACAAATTATCTATCGTACTTCAAAATAGCGGATATTTCTACTTGGATAAAATTAGTTGGAATTTCATCGCGGTCACTGATAATACATTCCTTGAACGAGATTTCGATTCTGATATCATTTTTCGGTAAACGCTCGTATCATTTAAGCGTGAGCGTTCGTAGATTTTTTAAATGGAGAAATTGAATAACTTTTTTTTTCTTGAACAGTTTCGCTCATCTTCGTCGAATGCTTCTCCTTTGTTTTTCGGATATGCTTACGTAACGGCAGACAGACGGTTTTAAAATATTTCCAGAGGAGCTTCGGATTCCCCAGGGGAGATGAATTCGAGTGAAATGCCTTGGAACAGGTGCGTGGTGGAAGTGCCTTCACCCGAAATAGATCTTCACCTAGCCTTTGGCCAATAATACGATATTCAAAAGCGTAGGTCTACATGAAAACCACACGCTCTCTTTTTTAATATCACAGATGCTAGTTGCATGACCGATCGCAGGTACCATTTCTGTCTGCGATGAACGATTGTAATATTTTCATTTTTGACTTCACTGAGAGTCCTGGGGTAGCGTTGCTTCAATGATTTGCGTATAAGAAGAAATCGACTGGTTGTAATTTTCGAGTTCTCAAGGTTGGTAAGATTGTTTAAGAAAATCTTGATCGAGACAAAACAAACGGAAGAGGTCGGACGTCGCGACGTTTCAAAAGTCTAGGACAGCCAGGCGCCGAAAACTTGTTCCTTGAGGTAAATAATACTGATGTTGCAACGAACGATACTCCGTATCGCTATAATAATCCACGCATGTGCTTTGGGCACAAAGCTTGGACAATCGAAAGAGCAGCTGTTAAAAATTCTTCAAGTTCGGCATTTCACCGCTCTATTATTTAATGAGAACATTCTTTTACTACGTCGATTCTTTCTTGATCCTCAGTATCTTGTTTATGAGATTGCTCGTTTAGAAAAAAAAAAGGAAAGAAATCAACTTAGTTCTCTTCAATTTCTTGTTTTCTTTGCGTTCCTCAAACTCTAAGCGATCTCTGTTCAACAACGGATGTGGCTTTGCTTTATTTATACTTCGCCAAATAACACTGGTCTCGAAAACTGAATGTACGCAAAGCTGTTCGTTTGATTGGCAGGGAAGCTTTCAAATTGACTCCCACGTTGAGATCCTCAGCCTAAGCGGTTTGCATGACGAGATGCTTTTTATAGACAAAGGATATACAATCTGAATCAACTGATTCTTCATCATCAACCCCAATGTTCATTCATGGATGTTCAAGATTACTTATAATGCTAAAGAATTATAATATACGGCAACATCAAAGTCATTACGAGTAATTTTCAGTGGCACGACGTCACGTGTCTTTCTAGTTAACTTAGATTTTTACAAATACTCACGCTTTCATTCTGCAGGAGTGTGTACGAGTTGTTCGATGGTCCAGGACTCGATGACGCGAATTCAGAGAGCTTTCCCGGAGACAGCTTCTCGCCAGTGACAACGTCGGCACCATCGCTGCTTCCGCTACCGCTGAAAATCGAACGAGCTCGTTTATTGTTCAAACTTAGAAGCGCCATTACGGTAGGAATTTCTTCAGGCCTCAGGATCGCTCGTAACTTCCAGTTTCGTAGGTACGATAAACCGCGCGAGCTCGTAAAAAGAAGAAGCTTGGAAGCGAACGTTAAAAATTGAGAAAACAGTACCGGCCATGAAGAAATATCAAACCCAGCTATAGGAATTTCATCTCAAGATAGGACAACCATTGCAGGAGTCTCCGGCTCAAATATGACGCCACCGAGAAATATCACACAGCCGTAAGGAAGCGTATTGCAAAAAATAAAGAATACCCCAAGATAAATTTATTCTACATGAGAAAGTGCAATACACCTTATACCAGTAGCTGATCTATATGCCGTCGCCTGAAGAGATCATTAAGCTACTAACAAAGCTGAATTATATAAAGGATAAATTATAGTAAAGAAATACACAATGAGCAATGCTGCTACTTCTGGTACAGTGTGCCAATCGAATGGTAATTTTACTGGCGATTATAATTGGCAATAAATAATGTCTGACCAGACTCACAAGTATCGACGATATAAATTGTTACTGAATCTCTCAGCAGGTTGGTAACAGTTCTCAAAGAGCCAATCCTTAGTGGTTAAGTAGCACCTATTACTCGTTATCAGAGTTATCAAATTGCAGCCTCCTATCCTGGCCTCGTTTAGAACAACCTCACCCACTTCCCTGATGTTCATTTTCACTCATTATTTCACGCACTAACTTCGCTTCCGCGCGAATCACATTCGTGCTGGCCTTTGCGATAAATCTTCCTCGCCCATTGTATGACTTTGCTATCTTTCTCGCTCTCTCATTCGCCGTCACGTGGTTTGCTCGAATTCACACGCGAATCATTTAACAGGTTGGGCGTAATGCTCCTGTGCGACTACTATTACTCCATCGTGATACTTGCCGACTATTTCACGGACTTCACTTTTACTCCCTCATTGGGGATGTACAGTGTATTCCTGGACGCTATTAGAGTTAACTTAGCACGATAGCATATACTAGTATTGATACCATATCGCGTGATAACGCCCCTCCATTGCTAATAATCATCATGGAAATTATTGAGCACTGTAATGTATTTGCGAGGACACGTAGATCAAAACCAATATCCTATACGTAGGAGGTTAAAGGTTGAAAAGAAGTCGTAATGGTAGCGCTGACACCGTAAGATCACTGGTCGGACCTTTGTTCATTGGTTTTAGTACTGACACTTTACTGAGGTAATGATTCAGAATGATAATAATTTTATGGGATCGCCCATATCTGATAAGTCAAGCTTGAGGATCGATTATACAATTTATAATTTTTTTTCGGGATATTGCCAGATACTTTTTTTGATGATTCGTTGTATTCACTGTTTCTTTAAATATTAATATTACTTTGTCGTTGTACGTAGGATCGTTCGAAAGTTTTATCTTCGATTGTTAAAGCTCATGGTATATGGGAGGTTCTTTAGAAATCTAATAAAAGTCTGGATCTTTATAGCTGCACGCTTCGCGTAACGGTAGTACGCACGTCTACTCGCTTTACCTTTGTAGACTCTACTGACTGGTCGAGTGACAACTCTATCATTTGTATTACCGATAACTCGTTCCAACACTGCAGTGACTACGATATCCGAGGTTGTTAGTGACAGGGACAGACCGAAGTCCATTATTCACTCAAGCGAACGTGTAGAGAATACATTTTGAAAACAGTTAGTTCCAGGAGAAATTTAAATTGTTGATTGTAGAACGTGGTGCGATGCAATGATTCCGATAGAGAGTGCTATAGGTCACTCAAAGCATGTTTTGAAATATCTGAAGGGGAGTGTATGTGAAAAAAGTTATTACTTTAGATACTTATTTATGATTTGTTATAATAATTTGATATACCGGGTGCTGAATTTTGTAGGCACGAGGGATATTGAAGTTGGAACAGTGTCGTTACAATTAGCATTTGACACGTTTCCTTGGCAATAAACTTTACACGTAGAAACTGGCAGTCCTAAGTGATTTTCTGGACAGCTGTTCTATTACGCGTTTAAGCCGCATCTTCACGTTAAATTTCAAATAGCTTATATAGAGGAGCACGCGCGTGGTATTAATAAACTGTTTTACTCTTACCTCTCTGTTGGTCCTGTTGAGTAGCTGGAAGACTCTTCGCCAGACTCTACACTGTTGAAGGATGCACAATTCATTTTTCTTTCTTCCCACTGAGAGCGCACTTCGTCCTGCACTCTTCTTTTCAATTCCTCTACTCTGCGTCGTTCCTCTGAGATTACCTGACTCCCTGTAATTAATGTGAAATTTATAGATTGATGTCTATGGTGTTTTGTAATTTAACTGTCTTATTGATTTTATAATCAATATTAATATCAAAACGTCGTTACTTACCTTGTTTTGCTAAATGAAGCTGTCGATTTCTTTCAATTTCCTTGAGGGACTCGATAGTCTTCCTACCTAAGCTGCCTTGATTATTCACAATTGGCGAGTCATTCGTTACTCGGGAGATCCTGTCAAAATCTTCTCTACTCGGCGATCGCTTCTCTTCCGAATTTTCGGGTGAGCTTTGAGCCAAATCTTCCAGTTCATCATCAATGGCGCGCAGTCGGCTGCGTCCCTGTATAGAGCGTTCATATAAAAACGTCAGCTGATCGATGCATCCAATTGTATAAGGGAAGCTCTACTTGCCTCTTCCAATCTTTTCATGTGACCCAGTTTCTGTCTTTCCAGAATTCTCGTATCTTTAGTGGCAGTATTATTCGCCTGGGAACGTTGAGATTCCAAGTGATTTAGCTGAGCCTTTCTGGTTTCTATTTTGGCAGAGAGTTCACTGAGGTATCTGCAAGAAGGTATCATATAACAAATAATTTTCTCCTTTTTAAGCTGTTGTCTTTGAAAACTAAATGCCAGCCAGCCAGATATAGAAAGCTATGCAATACATACGTATACACATACCTCTGTAGTTCTTCACGAGTTGCTAGTTTACTCGCTTCTTCCTCCAGATGATGAAATTCAAGGTCCTCAAATGATTTTCTCTCAGCCTCCAGGATGTCCTGCTGTGATGTCAATTTTTCAGCCAAGTCCTCGTGAACACTTTCATCCTTGCAGTTGGCCAACTCTTCTTCCAACCTGCCACAAAGTTGCTGAGCTCTTTGGACACGACGCTTAGCTTCCGCTTGTAGATTTGCCTGGGTCGAATTGTCCTCGGCCATTTCTCGCTCGAGTTCGTTTATCCTCATCTGAACTCTAATCTTTTCACTCTCATCCTGCGTAAGCTTTAAAGACTCGGATTCATATTCCGCTGACAGCAGAGCTTTTTCCAGCTCGAGCTGAAAAGAAAGATAACACATCAGACATCACGTATGATTATACAGCATCCGCTTGGATAATGATTACAGATGTCACGACATGCGTTTTCTTCATCTATTAGATTTTTTCTTTTTTAAAGATAAACGGGGATTACTTTCACATTATTTCTTGTTACGGGTCCAAGATCACTATTAAAACTTCTCAATAGTACTGTCACAGCTTTGTGTAAAATTTTGGCCATTATAGAGACCACTGTTTTTTATCACGTACACCTAATTCACACCCTACGCGGTCAGTAATTCGAGCATGACTATTGCTGGACTATAATCAACGCACTATCAACGAACTTTAAACGATCTAGTGATTCATTGAGTCGTACAATTAGTAAAATTGTTTAATATCGTGTGAACCAGAACTTATCGCTTCGAAGTGTAAGAGAAAACTGAATGTAAAGTTACATCGAATCGGATGTTCGGACAGCAAATGCCGGGATGGACTTATCTGGCCAGAAAATGTAGAGTTTAACAAATATTGGCTGGTTGAGAAGTTTACTGCGAAATGAACGGGAAATGATGTAATCCATTTATCGCGTTGCTTATCCGAGGGAATATAGCTCTACGTCAAATTTAGAATACTTTACGCATTATTTCTAAAAATATATAATTCGTCACTAGTAGCTACATGCATGGTTGGTGGCGCAATCCATTCTACATTCCGGAGTAAACAATATATTCATCATGAACTCCTCGACGAACTCACTAAGAACTGTCAGCATTCCAGAAATAAGATCATTGATAATTTTGTAGATTTATCTACCTCTCTTGTTATCTCCTCCTCTTGTATCTCGATATCTGCCACACTTCTTTTCAGTACATCCATGTTTCCAAGAATGTGAATTTTTTCATTTTGAAGGAACTCTATGTACTTTCTTCTGTCCTCCTCCTCGAGTTCCTTTCGCGCTTTATCAGCCTTTGCCTCGTTAGATTTGGCGTTATCCTTCTCGGAGTTGTTTCTCTTTGGCGTGACGCAAACGTCCTTCGATTTCGAGAGCATGGATAATTGTTCGATAGCTTCCAAAAGATCATCGTTTGATATGGCTAATTTATTTTCAATAACTTCGCAAGAATTGGACAGCTGGCCGCTCTTCTTTAAAGTCGCACTGTTTTGGTTGTTCTTTTGCGAAGACGATGTTAAAACAATATTTTCATACGGACTTTTGTTACCATTAAGTGGCGCAAAATTTTCATAACTGTGTCCAAAACTTTGAGATTGAATTTTCGTACCATTCAGCTGTATTTTCCCATAAGAGGACTGATCTTTTGTTTCGCTTCGTACTTGGAATCGCTGACAATTGGTCTCTCCGTTGAATCTTACATTCTCATAATTGGACGGATGAGCTTGAGTAATCGAATTCGAAAAACTATGGTCCCCGTCGCCATGACTGTTTGGCCATTTAATTTTCTGATTGTTATTTGGTGTAGTCGGCTGCAAATTCTCTTGAACATGCGACGCATCGTGAATCTCGTTCTGTCGAAAATTACCGTGGATTCTGTTATTATTCGGCGAATCTCCATTTTGAAGAATCATCCTGGAATTTTCTAGACTAACGTTCTCATAAGCTCCACTATTATTCTCCTTGGTGGATTCGAATGAAAATTGTGGTTGATTTTTGGACGGGCTCTTTGGACTGTCGAACGGCGAATTGTAGCCTGGTCTTTTTTCACGTGGAAGCGATCCATTGGTCTTGATTCTGAAATAAGGTAACAAAATTTATTGTCAAAGCTTAATACGCAAACGTTGAAATCTACTGTAACTTTCTTATGCTAACCTGTTCGGCTGTCTTGGTTTCTCCATAGTACTTTGTTTCTCGTATTCGGCGCACATTGCCAAAATTTCCTCGAGTCTCATTTTCTCTTGTCTTTCAACTTCCTGCTCCCTAAGTCTTTCCTCTTGCGCAAGCTTCCTCTTATTCTCAGCTTCCTTTCTTTTATGCTCGGCGTCAGCCTGTCTCTCTCTAAGTTCCTCGATAGAGCATCCACTTCCGGTACTAGGAGTCGGACTCTTAACACGTGCGTAAGAACGTTTCTGTTCGTTGTACTTTGGATTCCGATTGAATGCAGGACTCGGCGGCTGGATTCTCCTAACGTTAGGATTAGAGCCAAAGCTCTGAGATGAATTTGGTCCAAGACCATTAATCGACAATTCATTCATATTTGTATTGGAACCACGATTACAGAGATTTGGATTCGATCCGAACTTATCAACTTGTACATATTCAGTTGTGGTCTTGGCGACAATTAAACTTTGACTCATATCAAATTCACGGCCAAATTTGTCGTACTCGTTGGACTTTTGGCAAATCATACTGCGCGACATAAGATCAAAATTCTGAGAGTGCTTCGGAACTATCATACTCTGTGACATAAAATTCTCATTATTGTTCTCGTGATAGTGTGGATTGTACGTCTTAAGATAAGTATTGGCAGTGGAGTACATTTGAATTTGATTATAATTAGGCGTAGACGTCTGCATGACATTCGGAGTGTTTGATCGGCTCGGTGTCTTAATGTGTTCGATTTTCTGTCTGTTATCACTGGAATAATGGTAACTCTGTTCGTATGGCAAGCTCGGCGTATTGGAACGGCTTCTATCCAGATTCACCAAATTGTGATAAGGCATGATGTTGCTCTTGGAGAGTGAGGCCAAGCTCGACGATCTCGAATGACCAAGAATCTGGTCAGCTGGTACATTAGCCGTGCCACTGCCAGCAGGAAAAACCTTAGGAGACACGCAATTTCGATTTTGTCTAGCGAGCATCTCGAACTTCGTTAATTTCCCAAGGAAGCCTTCGTCATCGGAGCAGGAGGAATTTCTTGGTGATTTTCTTGGCGCGACTGGTGGTTTCCTCTCCAGATGATTGTCCAGGTTGTCAGCTAGAGAAAAGCTAATCGGTGCCATCGATATCCTCGAATTAGGCATGACAGACTTCAGTTGTTTAGCTTCAGCTGGATGATTGAACCTCATGTAATTGGATCGACCAATTGAAACCATACAACCTAAAAGCACAATAGACACGTCAAATCAGATAATAAACACGTAAGCTTTATCTTATAAGACAGTCGGTTAGTGATAACATCTCTATTGAACTTTATAGAATTCCATAAACGATAGATCACACGATTAAGGTAATCACAAGACATTCAAGTAATTATAACTTTATCCTCGAATCAATTTTACCTTGGGCAAGACGAATCGGCGAATTTACTGGAATCCCATCCACGCAGGTATTTCCGTTAATGGGATGAAGAGTCACCACACTGTTGTTATTCTCGATTGTGCAATGAATGAGTTCCACGCCTGTGCCCGAGACTGGAATATCTGCGTCTCTGCTGGATCCTAAAGTCACTCTACCTGAACAACACAGAATACCAGTTTAACAGATGGCTCCTTTCTTTACCTTTCTATATACACGATTATAGGTATTTTTAAACGGCGATGCGTTCGGGCCACGTTTTAATTGTGACTCGACTAATGCACGCGCTCACTAATTCCCTCCGTACCGTACTTCCCACGTTTCTATGCTACATCGATAAATCTACGCGTACATACGAATAATTACATTCAAATGCCATCAGTCTAATAATCATACTCAAATTGAATTCCAAACCTTTGTCAGTCTTTGTCTCTGGTCAATGGCCGATCATTCGTATACTAAACCGATACCGATCTGTCGGATTTCGTGCGTACACGTACCCCACTGAAAAATGAGTAGCAACGTAATTTTATGCCGAATAAACATCTCTCCAATGAATTAACTATTACGGTTGCGCCTTAGGAAGTGAACTTTTATCTGATTTACCTACTTGGACTTGTAGGCATCTCGCTAACGGAAGCGTGAGATCCATAAAGCTTTTGCGGTCAATCGAGGAACTAAAGTTGCTGCCAAGAGTAATTAATGAAATTTGCACAAGACGCGCCACGTGCGACAGTCGTGGAATCGAATGTCGTTAAGTGAATTATTAGCAGTTCGGCGTAAGGGGGGGGGGGGACTTTCTACCCATGAAAAAAAAGGTTCTAACTAATGGTACAACGTTAATCGATCCCATTATCGGTCGTTTTGAATCTTGGACAAAGTCCAGGGTGCGCCGGTACCATTTTGATTTCCTGATTGTTCACGAGCAATTTCGTGGTCGACAACTATAATTAGGTTCAAGTTATTCTGGTTGGACTGTTAGGCTTGAGAGCTGCGCGCCAGCTTTGTCGATTTGATTATTCCGTAAAATCACGAATAAGTCGTAACTCGCCTTAAGGTATAAAAGACTGGGTGGAAGATTTTTAATTTTTTTTTTCTCTTTTATTCGAATAGGCCTCGGTTCATCTATGTTCCTGGATACGTTAGACCGTGGTCGCCATTCCAAGCGGCACTAAATGTATTTCGTAGGGTATCTCTACAAAGGACCGAGTTTATATATAGTTTTGGCGCGACGTTCCTCAGGCCATTTTGTGTCTTTTTGGAAATGCGTCTGCCTCCACGTCCAAAATATCAACGCAAAGACGGCTCTGCGCTTCTAGTCGACAGCTGTCAAACTTAACTGCTCTAAGTCAGTGAGAAACATTGGAAGAACAATAGTTTCTCACTTTTCGTATAACGGGAGATCGCGTGGCATCTGAAAATATTCGAATTTCCATAGAACCGATTCGAAAAAAAAAACCTCAAATCTCAAAATCTCGTCTCTGGTCGTTTTAAAAAAAATTAGTTTAACCCTTTTGATATCACGGATTAAAAATATTTTTATCTTCGACGCATCGTACACGTACGAAGACAGCGTATTGAATTGAGCATCACTGACGTCATTTTGACGCACGACTCGTCCCACGTCCGCTTAAGGTTTGATACTCGCGTTAAAAAATAAAAAATCTTTGGAATTTTTTAAGTCTCTTTCACAGCTGCATAATCAGATAATTGCATCATGTCTTTATTATAGCAAGCGCTGCGTAGCTCGCAAGTCAGGAGACAAAGAAGACACGAGAAAGATGTTGAATAAAGAAGACCGGGACACGGTGCAATTTCAGGATTAGAACACGGGTGATCTTTTAGTACGTATCATTAGCTTATAATAGCTACTTCCTGTTCGCTGATACACGACACGAGAATAAAGAGTCGGCAAATTCAGGCCAGTTTCCACGCCTATTAATAACGCCAGCTCTACCGGCAACAAGTCAAAAGTAATTAATACTAAAAAAAAAAATCTTTTATGCGTCTCAGATCAGACAAATTTTTTCTCTCTCAGCCGCCGTATACCTTACTAAACGTCACATCCGGCGAGTCAAGCTAAGACAAAAAAAAAGGAAACAAGCCTAAAGAACTTCCTTAATGAGTCCCAAAAAAAAGAGTCACTTCCAACCCCTACCAGACTGCCAGAATCCAAATCCAATTTGATCGTCGAACGTTCGATCGATTGTCACGAGATTTTTGTACAATAATTTTTTAGCGGTTCCGCCAGTTCGAGCTAAGAGAAAGTTTCGCAGTGTCCGTTGGGACGTGCTATAAATCACGAGAAGCCATATACGCGTGGTAAGTGTATACATAATGGCAGTACAGAGAGACAGGTGGAACTCAAGTGAACCCGAAGAAGTAAAACAAAGGTAAAGACACCAGACGTAAAAATCCCTGAACAATGAGGTATAACGGATTCCGTCGACGGAATGAAGAAAAATATGTAAAAGCTAGAAAGGTACCACCATCCTCGCATACTCGTATATATATATATCTAAGCCAGCCATAACATTCCTCTGAAAGCCATCGGAATGGACAAGCTCTAAATAAATAACGTCCTGGACTACAGATTCATTCTAAGCGCCAAGAAGGAGAATTACATTTTCACAGAGCCACGAAGATAGAACGCGTCACTCTGAAAATACATCACTTTGAGGATTGACTCATGCAATAATTTATATTGCCCGCGTTGTGCCCGACTATATATAAGTGTCGCGCGCGAAGCCAGGCCCGCTCTAGGTTACTGTCCTCTGTCCTGCGCCCGAAGTAACGCCTTACGCCATTTATACCCCATGCACCGGCAATTTATACGTGCGTATGCACCGGCTGGAAATGGCACGATGGCGTCGAATGGCGGAGAGACCAAGAAGAGGAGGAGGAGGAGGGGGGGGGGAGAGAGAGGGAGAGGGAGAGGGAGAGAAACATACAGGAGAAAAAGAGAGAATCAAAGTGACGGCTAACGGCAAGAAAAGCATAAGAGTCAAGGGATAAAAAAAGAAAGGACACCCTGTATAGTAGCATCGAGATCCCGTCTGCGATCTGGGGATTCTTTGTGGAATAATTTACTCGGTATACACGTATAGCTACCGAGAGGCATCATCCCTCCTGAACGATATCGTCTAGCGTTGCATCTCGAATTACACGATCCGACGTAAAACATAGAGAGAGAGAGAAAAAAGACAGAGAAAAAAGTATAGAGAGCAAAAACGCTTTGGTTACGAAGGGGATTGAACGTCAACTCTTGAGGTACTTCTGAAACAGCTTTCATCCATCCGGTAAGTTGCGTTTACGCGGCAGCCGTACTAACGATAAGTGTATTTTTAAAAAGGGAATCGTTCGTATTTCAACGTCGCGCACGAGACCTCGTCCTACCGCCGGTATAGGCCTAAACCACTCGTCGTCCATGTTCAAGGTATCGTAAACCCCCGGCAGTACAACCGAGCCTTGGCATCTTACAGTACCGCTCTTTTACGAGGAGCAATGTCAATTTAACGTTCAACCTACCTTCGGGCAAAGGATGTAGAGTCACTGCAGTTGACAACCGTCCGCTGCCCATGGAAACAAGATGTGGCGCTTCGGTCTGAACACGCAAGGCTCGTCCAGCCTCGCGAACTTCTAGACCCGCCGTAGACATTCCTGCAAGACATAATAAAATGAGCGAGCTTACTAATGACCGTGAAATACGACGAAGAACCGTAATAAAGATACGATATCGATCATTCGCGTGATTCATAGATCTCGTTAGCACGTTAGATCATTAATACTTCTCGTTAACGAACACGCGACTAGTTTGTCATCCAACAGCGAGGACATACGAAATTACCCATATACGAAATTACCACGTGAGAATAAAGTAAATTGTTTTGCTGGCTGTGATAAAATGCAAAGAATATCGCACCAGGATCGATCCGATCACGGATGACGAAGAGCCGATGAAAAACAGTGCAAAAAGTCACGTCCAAAAACCGGTCTTCCCTGATCGGCCACGTGCATAACACATCGAAGGTATCTTTTTCTCGCGACTTGGTCGAACATCAACCGAGTCATGGGTCACGTTGAATTACGATGACGTATATATATGTATTTACGTATACGCAAGCCGTCCAATCGATAGGCGATCGTAATCGAGTACGTGATAGTAAATCCTAGGAATGTAACGTGGTCGCGTGTCGGCCTGTAGTAAACGTCAGGATCTAGTTTGTCCAGGTGTACCTATTTCCCGTGTACGTTACGCTGGCGCAACAGCCTTACGCGTAACTGGCGAACGCACGAAGGATGCAGGTAGAGCGGCCGGTTGTTGCATCACTGTTATGTCAATGTTAGAATGAGATCTTGTAACCGGTAACCCACGTGGCGTAAGTTGCCGGATAGCGTGAACCGCTGATCGAGCCGGTAAAAGGTCCTTGGCGGTGCAGCAAGTCCTTATGCACTTCTCGGTTGCACTTGGCGCCACCACCGCGTCGGTTTGTCCGACTGCAATACAGGCATTATAATATCGGCCACGTCGTGCGGTTTTAATTGAAAATTTCAAGCTAACGGGGAATATTAATATCCTGCATTTCGGGGAGACCGCGGATGGACCCTGCGGCGGTGCATTTCTATGCAATTAACATTGCACGGAGGACCTTTGAGGTTGTGCACGAGAAGTGGAAATTTAATCTTACAGAATCGTTATAGGGAGAGGGAAGGTGAGAGAGAAACACAAATTTATTTGATCTCGACCACAGCTCCTAGATCAGAATACAGATTGGATTTTGGATTTTGGGCTTATGCAGTCACCCGATTGACATACAAACAGGGAATTCAATCGATACGGACTTTGCTGCATTAACGCGTATCTCGATTGGACGCCGTTGACAATGCGATTTCTATAGGAAGAACGGATATAGAGGGCAGCACACTCTGCTGTCTTACTTTTGGCTAAAAAATGTCAAACGATTAATGCCCACCTCGCAACAATCTCCATGCGCCACCTACGAGGACTCTCTGCGCTGAGTCGTTCTTCCATTGGTAGTTCGCGGGTTTAATCGCGAGTCTTAAATTACTGGCTAATGAAATCCGAGGAGGCGTAATTCAACCAGGCTGTGCATGCCCCACATGACCATATAACAAACTACGGTTGCGTATCGATTTCTTGATAAGCGACGTGCTCTATAAGGTTGGCTTTGAATTCGAGTTATCCTATAACCAGTCGCTGCATAGATAAACGTTCTCTCACGCGGCTTCATTTTGACCTGAAAATTTCTACCGGTCAGATCGAACAGCGTGCCAGCTACGTATAACCAGCCACGTGTGCACTAAAAACGTTTTTAAGTTATTTCTTAAAATTTTTCAATAAAATTTTGCGGACTACTTTAAAAGTACCAGATCAAATTTTCTTACCGGACGAGAGTCCCGCGTGAGCTGTACGTTCACTGCCATACGATGTACTAGGCTCAACGGGATGCTCTAGCTTAATGTGCTTAATTAAAGTTGTTTCAACTCGTTAAGATCATTCGCACGGGATGAACAACCCTGACAGCTGCGTGCAGTTTAAACGTACAAGTAAGAAGGCACCGGGTTCGGCGAACAACTTGCAGGTCCCGTGCTTCTATTCTGGTCGAGACTGTGCAAGCCTGATCCAAGCCTGTGCAGGAAAATGGTACCGCTGTGAGAATTTAACGCAGTAAGAATTTCCTAGGATCCCCCTAGGGTGCCTATGGAGAAGTATAATGCTTTCCGAGTTACGGAGTCTTGCGTAGAACGGCAAGCGTATCGTACAGCTTACACTGTGATCTTGCATTCTTACGTTCATTTATCCGACAGAGTAACCGGAGGAAAGAGCATTTTCAATCAATGAGAAAAATGGGTTAGATCAATAAGCTGCTCTGTGTGGAAGCTGAGAGCGGCGGTCCGAGATAATCGTTCTTGCGATGTTGGTAGAGAAAATAATCAGCGTCGGGAATGAATAAACATTGACGTCTATCTATAACGCGTGAGTAACACTGTGAGGGCGTAACGTGGCATAACATTATCTAACCAAATCGAAAGAGGTTAGTCAATGTTACTATTTGAGCGAGTGGCAAAGAGATCCGAGAAAAAGTAAAAGGCCGTTTCACACGTTGACACTGGAACTTTATCAGTTTCTCTTATGGAACGACGGATATAGGTTATGTTGGGTATCCGTACGTGGCAGTGCATTGCGCAACTATCGAGTGTGCCTGGAATATAATTTCTAAACCACATGCTCGAATTTTCAGAAGTACGAGGCCCCTTTCAAACGCTTCGGTGTATATTGAAACTAAGTGCCTGTCGTTAAGAAGAATTCACACGATAAATCCTTGATAAAGTCCTCACGACCCAGATGCCTGTTTGCATCGTACGACGTACTGTATACCAAGCCCGATGCACTCACGGATAATATTTACACCACGATTTACGCACACGGAGCGATAATTATTTACTAAACTTTTTCCCGTTTCTCGTGAAAATGTCTGCGTTCCATCAATTTGTGTCACGAGGCAGATATATATATATATCGGATTATCATAATACATAGCGTCATCGGTACCAGCATCGCTGCGTGCTACGTTAACATTGCAAAGACAGGCATTCGGAAGCGTGCTTGTAAATCGTGCGTTCGACGTGCCTTAAAATTCAGTCCTGTGTCCTATAAAGAAAACACGTATTTCCTAGTAAACGATAATCCCAAGGAACAAAGGCTAAAAGTGCATGGGATATTTTTAAAACGTAAATTACGAGCAACGCAGGTGTATACGTGTTGGTTAGGATACCTAATCTAAAAAAAGAAGAAATTTCGTTAACCGTGAACTTGAGATACATATTAAAATAGCCTTCGCCGCCCTCTGTACAAATATATTCATACGAGCGAGCAAGAAAGTTGATTTGAACAGACGAATAAAAAGGGAATCGGCCGCCAGTCGGGATTTTCTTGTAGGTTGGAGAAATCCCGTGACAGCCAGCTTGTCGCTTACCTCTAACGTATCCATGTTAATTGCATAACCCTCAGCGAGTTTCCCTGATAGAAAAACCAATTCTCAATTTGTACGTAATTTCAGTTCCAAGCGAAGGATTAGCGTTGGTTGAGTTAACTGCCGAGAGATGGCGCTCCCGTCGCTGAACCCAGAGTCAAATTTAACCATATACGAGTTTAACTAGCAACGCTTTCGAGATACTTGCTTTGTAGGTTTTGAGAAAAACGACAGCGGGTATACAGTGAACTGTTAATATTACTATAGTCACGTGGAAGAAGGTATGCATCGCTATGCAAGTCATAGGTGCGTTGGCATTTACGTGGTTCAAGTAGCAACTGCTCCAGGCATCGCTACGCCCAGCAACGGCTAGAGCTACGTGATCTAGGAAGGTACGAGACCGGGCAACCTTCTACGAGGCAAACGTGCAACCTGCGCGTACGACAATAACGATAGCGTGCAGGGACACAACATTTTCTCAGGCACAGCTGAAACGTGGCGACGATCGAACGCGGCGGTAGGAAAAAATATTTGCAATAGAAACTTTCAACTTTGAATATTGACAACGACGAGTATCTTTTTCATCGAGTAACAAAGAGATACGTACTTTCTTTTTACGTATAGAAATCGAAGAATAATGCCCGTTGTATGAAGTTGCATTTCGAGCAGTGATATCATCGTACTTGCATTCTCGCCTGATACGGAAATACGTGTACGTTCCCATGGTATATCTAGCGACGCGAGCGACGCCTTAACGTATCATAAAAACAAGTGTTGCAAAGAGAAAAGTAACGATCGTCAGAGTGACGCCGGTTATACGATATTCTATAAATGTCGGAGTGACGAATTAATGAAAGCTCCGAGAGGCTCGTGGTAAAGCAGATTCGCATATTCTAAATTTTTGACACTTACGCGCGACAAGTAATTCACGTGTCTTCGCCAAAACGTATGATTCCCACGCTACGAGGATGCATACACGGCCTGAAGCGTCGGTAAGTCGTCTTTCGTAATTGCGAAAGAACGAGTGGCATTGTGGGTATTACGAATAAGTCAAGTAGGGCCTTCGAAAAGGGCTTGTAGTATCTGAAGTGTCGTGCAAGCTCAAGAGGTTCGCTCAGCCAGCTTCCATTAGAAGTAAGTCGGTCGAGTCGATAGGAATTAAAAAAATTAATAAATCCAGCAGTCATTTTGTAGAATAAAAAAATCGATATCAACGAGAAATCTTCTCCACTATAATTTTACAATTTTATTTCATCCTCTTTACTGGCTCTTGCTATGATACCGTATGATCCTGATAACGTTCACAGTGTCGTCCTAGTCTCAAAAGTAGATATAAAAATTGACGAAGCACAACGCCAAATAACTATTTTTCGTAGAACCTGAAATTCAAGTAGTTTCGTAAGAACCTTAACGACCACCTCGTAAAGCTTAATGACCTCTCCCAAGAAGCGTACCTAACCTCGTATAAGAATGCGATATTAATCTAGACGAATCCTATATTCCAGTCCATACGAAAAGTACCACCACGTGTCTCTGTATACCCAGTGAGACGAAAGTTTCTCGGCGAACGGCAGGATATGTTTAATTAGTCGATGCCCGTAAAGAGCGTCGATGTGGACTCGACATTTTAAACCCAGTGCACATCCCCGCGTCGCGGCGACCGGA